TTGTGTAAGTGACAAATCTGCTTCATGTCATCTGTGTGTGGGTGCTGAGTCTCACAGCTGGGTCTCTCAGTCAGTCTCTAATCTAGAGTCCCTCCATCCAACAGCTAGCAAGAAAACGGAACCACACTCATTCATCTGCAAGGAACTGGATTTTGCCAACAAGCCAGAAGTGGATCCTCCTCTAAGGGACTCTGGATGAGGATACAGCTGGCCAGTACCTTGATTTCAATCTTGAGAGGCTGATGTGTACTAACTTCACTGCTGACCCACAGAAGCAGTGAGATGATGATACATTTGTACTGGTTTACGCTGCTCAATGTGGGGGGTAAGTTGTTATGCAGACTTCAGATGAGTGCTGTGTCCTTTGCCTAAAGGACATTCTGATGAGAATTCTGTCCATTCATTTCCCATCGCTATCCCAGGAGTGCGTAGGAGTGTCTAGGATGCTTGCCTGTGCTCATGCGGCTAAGGAAAGCTATACACAGAGAGACATCTGAGCTCAGAAAGACAAGTAATGGCACCTGGGGGCTTTGCAAAGCACACCATGGCCCAGACTGCTGTAAACACCACACTCATGAGAGGAGGCAGGGTACCTGCCAGAGTAGCAGACTAGTAGACTGATTTAAGCTGGCTTCTGGAAGTCAAGGGTCTTACCCAGCTGACAGCGTTCCTGGGGCTGTAAGTGAGGTACCCTGGGAGGCCAACCCAGCAATGGCAAACGCCCTTTGCAGGACTAAAAATGGTTCAGTGTTGTTCCAACATCTCCAGTTAGAACCCAGAGCAAGATACCACAAACAAGGGCATTCTGCATGCAAAGGTAGGTAGAGAAAGGTTCGTGGTTCTCTGCTCCTGTTCTTGGCTTTGGCGGGGGCTCATTCATGTCTCATAAAATCATTTCTCTTAGGAGCTGTGAGGAGAGCATAGGAGCTGGAACCGTGAATATCTTAAAAAAATAAACACCAAAAACAAAACCCCCAGACCCTGAGCTCCTGCAAAAAAGACAATGGCAGGCAAACACCATCAAGGGAGGCTGGTGGTTTGACTTTGGAGCGATTAGTCATGTGTTCTGACTTTTCTGAGCTACATTCCTCCGATTCATACAGAATAATAGGAACCATTAATTTCGGCTTTGTAACTGAGGGGTAACCACACAGTTTAAAATAGGATGTCATTGTACCAATCACCCACAAAGACACTTTCCTGAAAGAAAACAAAACGTGACAGTTTTCTATGAGAGAGAGCAGAGAATTCTTGCCCTAAGTATGACCCCGTGATTTCCTTTTCATATAGCTGGAGTGCACCTCCCCACTCCAGGACCATTTAATTCTCCCCTCTCCAGGCACTGCTGTGCCTTGCATATCCTGCCGTGAGAGTTGCCATCCTGGGGGAAGGCCATGTTTTGCTCCCTATCTTGCTCCTTTGTGTCCTTGGAGTTCCTTGGAGGCATGAACCTTGTGTCCTGCTTCTTGCTAGCCCTTGCTGGCAATGATAATTAATAGCACACAATAGGTCCTCAATAAGTAGTTACTACATGAATGATTATAAAGCTTGAGAAAATGACACACTTCTGCTTAAAAAATATCTATCTAGGGCAAAAAGTAAAAAGGAAGAGAAATAAAAAGGAAATCACGCTAATAAAATAAAATACAAGGGAGATAAAGGCAGCCATGTGTCCAGCGGTTACTGAGTACATAGCTTTGGGTAAACTTCGGTGGCAAAGTTTACTACGTCATCGTCATCACGTCACAGGAAAGACACCGTCACAGGTAAGTCTCATGGGGGTAGCTTGACAAGGACCACACTGTGGCCAGTCTAGTTCTAACATGTGAACCCCGACTTCAGTTCTCCCGAAACCTGGCCTGGTTCCTGTGGTTGGGGCTGTTTAACACCATGCCAAGTCCACGGAGGCACCATGGCTGTCCCAGACCCACTCACTTGGGGATTCTGCTGTCAATGACAAGTAAAGGTCACTCCAATGTGCCATGAGGTCAGAAGACAAACCTGAAACAGGTTTGTGTGGAACTACCCTCAGGAGCAAGCTGCTGTCCTAAGTCGGAGGTCAGTGGAAGCTTAGGAGGCTTAGGGAAGGAGCCATGCTATAGATTAGATCTCAAATACCCTTCCTTCAAAGGCTTGCTCCCTAGATTGTGGCACTGATGGGAGGCGGTAGAACCTTTAAGAGGTGGGACCTAGGGGGAGGAAGTTAGGTTATTGGGGGAAAGGCCTTGAAGGAGATATTGGGAGCTGGGCCTAACATTTTTTCTTTTTTCATTTCCTATTTGTCATGAAGTGTACAGGCCTCTTCCCCCATGCATTTTTACCATGATAGGTGCCATAATAGACCTGAGGCAACAGACCAGAGCAAGCATGGACTAAAAACCTTTGAAACTGAACCAAAATGAAGCAAGACTGACCAACACAGGAGGGCAGGCTATGCGGTACTGCCAGAGGGGAAGCTACTTCTTGAGCCTCCTCTACAAAAGCCCTGTGTATCCCTGGTCCTGTGTACCCCTGAGTCCCTCAGCCTCAGTAGTCAGAACCACTGGTCAAGTCCTAGTGCTCAGATTCCCTGACTTGCTGGCACATTTGGCAACATGGTTCACTCCCTGCTTGAAACACTTTCTCCGTGTTTCAGTCTGCTGTCAACCTCTGGTTTTAACTGATTTCCAGGCCAGCTGTTTTCCATTTCTTCTGCTAGATCCCCTTTCTGTTCCTGAGCCTTCCATGCTAGAGCACTCCAGATCTGAGTCTTCGATGGTTTCTCTTTTCTGTCCCTGCTCCAGACTGGTGCATCCAACTGATGCTCACTGTTGTACGGGACATGGTGTGTGGGGGGGTCTTTTAAGGAGCGTGTCCCATTACAGAGATCTCACTATACCTTGGGAACTGACACATTCATACTGTTGGCCCAGATATCTCTCTAATTCCAGATTTGCATGTCCAATGTGAGAAGATATGTTCTTTTTTCCTTTCACTCAATGTTTTTTTTCTTTTTTTTCAAATCCAGAGTCCTATAAATAAGATTCCATATAAACAGCTCATTCATAACGCTTTCAAGACTTAACCACTAAACAATTAGAAGGAGGAATATATACTTTCCACCCAGCAATACTGGGCAGTTTTCTCGGCTCACTGTTTTGAGGTGGAGCTCTGTTTTCCCCAAGGATATTGATGGTGAAGGATGTGGGGAATGAACAGCTGCTGTCACTTCGGTGTGGTCCAATTTGTCACTCAGATGAGGTGGAGGGCTGAGACTTCTTAGTACAGAAAGGGTCCAAAAGATGAGAAAAAGAGAAGTTAGAGAGGTCGGGTGGGTGGCAGGATCAGGTTCGTGCCGTCCAGAGCTTGCCTGGCTCTGCAGAGGAGGGCAGTGCACCTGTGCACCTTCCTTGCTTCTCAGTGGGAAGGATGGAAGAGGCCTGGCAAAGTCCTAGGATGCTTTTCCAAGACAGAACCCTGACCTTCAGACTCCACTGGTGTCAAGACTGGCTTCCCCAAGGCCTCCTGCTAGTATACAGCAGGGGGGTTCCCTGTTGCTGAATGGACTAGGATTGCTATCTCTGGGATCACATCTCTCCATTCTCTCAATGTGCAACACTATCAACTGTTCATGCACTTCGAATTTTAACTCACTAAGTTTGAGTTTGGAAAGGGTGGTTCCCAAGGTTTGAAGAAACCTCAGAAGGTTGAAATCAAATGGTGCCTCTTTGGAACGCTAATCCAGAAGTAGAATAGAAGTGATACAAAATGAGTTTACGATACAGGACTCTCCCTTTATCAGTGAGGGTACATGTTCCCGGACCCCCATGGATGCCAGGGAAAGTACCATGGGAAATTAGGATAGCACTGAAACCTATACAGATAGTCTCCCTTCCCTCCCATACCTATGATGACTTATGGATTGGGCACAGTAAAAGATTATAAACATAATACAGATCAATGATAACATACACTGCAATTAAAGTTATTCAAAACGTGTGGACTGATTAATTCTGGAAGTTTCACCATTTAGTATTATACTACAAGTAACTGACACCTCAGAAAGTAAGACTGTGGGTAAGAGGATCTACTTTATATGAAAAAAAAAACAACAACAGGAAAGAAAGATATTTTAAAGAAATAAAGGCTTTCTTTGGGTGTGACAGAGCTGAGGGAGAAAGCCGACCCACACACTCCAGGCTCACCCTTTCGCAGGACTGTGAGCTCTGATTAAAGGAGATTCTTGGGTGAGTTCAGCTACCATCCACACTGTCATCAACCATATATTGTGGAGCTTCAGCAGCCCTGAGCTATTGCTGTGTTTGACTGAGACTCGTGACACTTGTTTTCTTAACCCATACCGACTTGCCCTTCTGAATAAAGTGCACTGTCTGAATTAGTCACATGGGAGTGTCATTAAACAAGGCCAGTTTCCACAGAGAGGGATTGAGATGAAGGCCAACCTCCCCGGGTTGTTCAGTGTTTGTGGATCAGCAGACAATGGTGGAGATGCCAGTCCCTGGGTTGTTTCTGATGGCTGTGCAAGTAACTGAGATAACAGTTTGCCCTTACTCATGAGGCCTGGAGCTCCAACACAATGACTGTGGATGTGGATCCTGTTCTAAACCCAAGCACCTTCTTCACAAAGCTTCCTGGGTCCCTGTTTCCAGAAACAGGTGAATTTACTAAGGTGACCGTGAGTGGCATGACTTTCCTCTGAAGATCCACACCTACCCTCAAGCCCAGAGTATTTCTTAGGTTTGATCAATTTTCCCTGGGGAAGTAAGATGGAGAAACAAGGTTCCCTTGGGGGAGGGGCTTTGGATTTAGGAAACAGGGAACAAGAAGTCAAGAGATTATGGTACCATGCTCATCGCTCTGCAACCAGCAAACACTGGGCTAGAACACAGCAGGGGTTGGTATAAGCATGGAGAATCCTACTGGGAACTGCCCAGGACCTGAGAACACACATCTGTCTCCATGGAGTCTGGGGAAGGTGAGCCTGTGGTTGAGCCACTCACCTGCCTGCTCCAGAGCTACCATGGTGGCCTGCTCGATCAGGTCCCGCTCGATGAAGCTCCTGAAGTCTTCACTGTACACGCTCAGGTCGGGCAACTGGAAGGTGTAGATTGGCATCTCCAAGGGGAACTGCTCATTGTTGCACTCATTCGCCACGTGGGACCGGGCCAGGGAGACGATAGCTGAGCTGGCGTGGGAAATACCCCGGGAAAGGCGCTTCTCTGCAGGAAAGAAGAGGAAAAAGGCAGGCACGGGGATCAGTGTATGTAAGTACACACAGACACATGAGCAAATACGTGCAGTACACACAAACATGTGCAGGTACATCCATATGCATAGGTACATACAGATATACACAAGTGCATACATGCATACACATGAGCACACTGCATACAATATACGCATAAGACCCCCATATACACTGCACACCAAATACACACATGCAAGCACACATACAGATGCATGAACATAAATATGTGCACATACCCAAGTCCTGGATATACATATATACAACACAAAAAACCACATAGCTCTGTGTACATCCATGGCATACATGTTTACAAAGTATATAAGACATATATGCACAACATTCATTTATGTACACAGATACTAAACAATATACAGACCTATACACATACACATATACTAGACACTATACAGACACACAAACCCATACACACGTTTATGTACTGCACTGCACATCATCCACATACTTCGCCCACAATATGGATGTACATACACTATACAATGTATACTGCACACATTATGAATTCACCTGGAGCACTGCAGACATATGTGTTCACACATGCACATACTACACATGTACACCTGCACACCCATATTCTTCCTACAGTAGCCCTTCTAAGCTGGTGCTCTACCATTTGAGCCATGATTCCAGTTCCCAGACATGGGTGAGTTTACTAAGGTGATGCTGATAAACTCCTTCCACCTGAACATCCCTGGACACAAGTACGACATCGCTGCACATGCTTCCCTTATGTCAGCACTTTTCCATCTCTTAGTATGAGGCGGAATCTGGTCTTGCTCTTTCTGAGCTTCCCAAGCAAGGAATGAGAAATCTAGTGTGGGATTTTCCCAAAGTTCTATGTGTTACACTGTTAGGAAGTGAATCACTTTAAAACAGTAGGCATGCGCTCTCTCTCTCTCCCTCTTTCTCTCTCTCTCTCTGGTCGGTTGTGGGGCTTGAACTCTGGGCCTGGGCATTGTCCCTCAGCTCTTCAGCTGGAGGCAGGTGCTCTACCACTTGAGCCACAGTGCCACTTCCACTTTTCTGGTGGTTTTTATTGGACATAAGAGTCTCATGGACTTTCCTGCCTGGGTGGCTTTGAACCACGATCCTCAGATCTCAGCCTCCTGAGTGGCTAGGATTACAGGCGTGAGCCACTGGTGCCCTGCATGTTTGCTTTCTTGACACAGTAAAAATATATTTAATTGGCTGGGTGCTGGTGGCTTACGCCTTTAATCTTAACTACTCAGGAGGCTGAAATCATCAGGTTTGATGCCAGCCTGGGCAGAGAAGTCCCCATGAGACTCTTATCTCCAATTAAAACACTTGAAACCGGAAGTAGAGCTCTCAAAAACTGGAAGTGGAGCTCCAAGTCGTAGAGTGCTAGCCTTGAGTAAAAAGAGCTCAAGAACAGTGCCCAGGCCCTGAGTTCAGGCCCTACAACTGTGTGTGTGTGTGTGTGTGTGTGTGCGTGTTATATGCAAAGTCGTGCTTTTAGTGGCCGACATTTCACCTAAATGAGCATTAGTAAGCATATGATGGCTTTGTTATCATAAGGATTTTTTTTTTTTTTTAGCAGAAGCTCTCCTATTCTGGTCAGGAAAGCAGGATCACTGGTGTTTGAGTGAGATTATTGCCTAACCCCTGTGGCAGATTCCTGAATACATTGAGTACTAAGAATACCTATCTCATTTCAGACTAGTCTGCCTGCTCTCTGGTAAGGCTGCTTATCTGCAGCACAGCCCTGATGACAGCCCTAGCCACAGGGCAAATCCCCACTGGTGCCTTCCTCCCACCAGAAGCTTTCTTTGGTCTCACTTGTACGTTCAATGGGCAGAAGAGGCATTAAGGTAATTCTATCAACATAGACTAGCAAGCGGAGGCTTTTGATCCTGTGGCAGGGTAGTTTTAAATCCAAATTTAATTCTCAGAAGCCTCCAGTTATTTGCCCAGTCAAGTGAACAGAAAAACCACACAAGAGAACTTATTTCAGAATGGATGGTTTCGATTCAGATCCATGTCAGTCTGAGACAATGTGATTAAGTTGTTTTGTATTCTGAGGAAAAGCAAAAAAGAAGTCAAACCACAGAGACCATCAGAAAGAAGAGAAATAGAACCAAGGGCCTGGCTAGTCTGTCCGATGCTCCTTTGGTTTCCTGTATTTGGTCCAAGGGCAGAAGCCAAGGAGATCCCACGGGTTCTGCTTCTTGTAGACCATGCAGAGCTTACAAGACCTTTTTCTAGATCAGAAGTATTGGAAGTTTCTGTCTTTCTTTTTCTTTTTGGTGCCAGTCATGTAGTTATAACTCAGGGCCTAAACACTATCCCTGAACTGTTTTTTGCTCAAGACTAGCACTCTACCACTCTAACCACTTCTGGCTTTTTGGGTGCTTAATTGGAAATAAAGAATTTCATGGACTTTCCTGCCTGGGCTGGCTTTGAAGTGCAATCCTCAGATCTCATCCTCTTGAGTACCTAGGATTATAGGCATGAGCCAACAATGCCCAGCAAGTAGTTTTGGAAGTTTCCTAAGGAGAAAAGAAAATTGTAGAGAAGGCAGCAAGAGAGGAAAATTTGAACATCAGTGCAAACATTCAAGGCCAAGCTGATATTGGGTATGTATCTGAAAGAAAGGAAGTCAATATGTTGAGATGTGTACAGTCCCATGGCATTGCAGCACCATTTGAAACAGACAAGGTATTGAACCTGCCCAAGAGTCCATTAAGGAAAGAATGAATAAAGAAAATATGGTATGTACATATAAACACAATGGAATACTATTTGGCCATAAAAAAGATAAATGATGTTATTTGTGAGAACACGGATGAACTTGGGAGAACATCATGCCAGGTATAAAGTGACAAATATCACATGACCTCATTTGCATGGAAAGGCGAAGTGAACTTAGAGAAAGAGTGAGAGGAACAGCGTGGTTACTAGATAGAGTATGGAGATGGAAAGGGGAAGAGAGATACAGAGAAGTTGGTGATTGGCTACAAAATTACTGTTAGGCCAGGCGCCATGTCTGTAATCCTAGCTACTCAGGAGGCTTCGATCTGAGGATTGAGGTTCAAAGCCAGCCCAAGCAGAAAAGTCCCTGTTGAGACTCTTAGCGCCAATAAACTCAAAAAACGGAAGTGGTGCTGTAGCTCAAAGTAGTAGAGCACTAGCCTTGAGCAAAAGAGCTCAGGTACAGTGCCCATGCCTTGAGTTCAAGCCCTACAACTGACCAAAAAACAAACCAACAAACAACAGAAAGAAACAACCTACAGTTAGATAAGAGAAATAAATTCTAGGGTTCCACAGCACAGTAGGGTAACCATAATTAGCAATTATTTGCTATTTCTAAGTAGCTAAAAGACAAGATTTTGAATGTCTCCAGCTCAAAGAAATGTAATAAATATCTGAGATGGATATACTAATTACTCTGATTTGAGTATTATATATTTTATACATATTTTGGAATATCCCACTGTAATCCCATAAATATGTATGCCCATTAGGTGTCAACTGAAAATAAAAACAATGAAAAATAATCAAGGCTCTCTAACTTAAGTGCTCTCTTCCCACACTCCCGAGAAGAAGAAGACCAGCCAGAGCACAGGGTGCTTGCCTTTCACCTGACATGAACTATTAGTAGAGACAGCTGATAGCCACAGGCCCCGGAGCTCACAGGAAAACAAGTAAAAGGTGAGGAAGGCAAGCACAGTTTAAGAAAGTTCAGGCAGGGACTTAGTGGTAGAGTGCTTACCTAGCATATATGAAGCCCTGGGTTTGAGACCTCAGTACCACATACATAGAAAAAGGCGTAAGTGGCACTGTGGCACAAGTAGTAGACCACTAGCCTTGAGAAAAAGAAGCTTAGAGACAGTGCTCAGGCTCTGAGTTCAAGCCCCAGGACTGGCAGAAAAAAAGAAAGTTCACACAGTAATCATGTGGGGAAGGCAGAGTAAACAGACCAGACTTATAAGTGAGTCTAGCACACATGTTCAGAGAGGTAAAGAGAATATTAGACACTAGTAATGGCAAAAATTTAATTTGGAGGGGGCTGGGAAGGTGGCTCAGTGGTAGAGCGCTTGCCTTGCATGCATGAGGCTCTGGGTTCGATTCCTCAGCACCACATAAGCAAAAAGAAAAAAGCTTGAAGTGGCGCTGTGGCTCGAGTGGTAGAGCGCTTGCCTTGAGCTGAAGAGCTGAGGGACAGTGCCCAGACCCAGAGTTCAGGCCCCACGACCAGACCCAAAAAAAATTTAATTTGGAGTGAAAGAATGTTCACTTATGATAGATGCATGGGAAGAAATGAATGAGAAGGAGGTCAATGCAAAGAGATCAAAGGAAACAGTTGGGAGTGGGAATTTTTATTCCACTAAATAAAATATGTATCATATAAACTCTTTTAGGTACTTTGGGCCTTAGGAGATTCACCATGTAGAAGTATTTATTTTTGAAAGTAATCTTTTAAAGAAGACTTTCTCTTAGTACAAGAGAAATGAACACAGTCATGTGTCTGTCTCCTGTAGATGGAACTATGTTCTGAGAAGTATCTAACAGCATGAACTGCATGGAGTGTGCTTATACACACCTGGAGAGCCTAGCTCGTGCTTACACACATGGATGGTCTAGCTCAGGCTTACTTACACCTGGATGATCTTCTTTGTGATTACACACGTGGATGGCATAGCTTGTGTGTTTATACACCCTCAGAGTAGACAAACAAGGTAAAAAATCACAGCAATAACACTTGATGCTGGCAAAATAAAGGGACACACCCAGGGTTCACAAAACACAAGAGAGTGGAGACACTTTTTTTTTTTGTTGGTCATGGGGCTTGAACTCTGGGCCTGGGCGCTGCCCTGTGCTCTTCAGCTCAAGGCAAGCGCTCTACCACTTGAGCCACAGCGCCACTTCCTGGAGACACTTTTATAAAGAAATTTTGAAGTTAAAAATCACGTGTGCTGCCACGGCAAGCCTACATTGGGATGCTAACTGATAGGAAGAAACACACCCATATAGAGGATTGATAAAGTTTGGCATGGCTTGTAGTGGTAAAAAGAGGTAAACAATAAAAACCCAAGAAAAGTCAGGATGACCATTTTTATAGCAGTTCCCCAAATGAATGTATATTGTATAATAAATTGCAGCTATTAAGAGTATAAGTTCATGGCCAAGTGCAGTGGGTCATGTCTGCTGATCCTAGCTACTCAGGAGGCAGAGAAGACCATGGTTCAATGCCAGCCTGAGTAAAATGTTCATGAGACTGCTGTTTAACCAATAAAAAGTTGGGTGCTGTAATGCACACTTGTCATCTTGGCTACAGATTAGTGTAAAAAGGAGGATTGCAGTCCAGGCTTTTCCTGGAATAAATGGCAGACCCTATTGGGGAGAAAAAGTAAAAAGGGTTGGGGACATGGCTCAAGTGGTAGTGTTCACTTGACAAACATAAAAGACCGAGTTTAAGCTCCAGGAGTGCAAAACGGAAAAAAAAAATCCCAGTGATATATTGCTCATGATGTATTGTTCATGATCATATGGACAGTATGTTTATGACAAGTACAATAACCACTTTGCAGAGTATGATACATGTTTGACATCAAATCTTTACATTTTGACTGAACCTAGCAAGAACAGGAGGAATCATACCCAAACGATCTGTGAGATTTGGGATGTAGGGAAGAGAAAAAAGTCTACATTTCCTGCTATAGCTGTGGATGACTTCCTTTCTTACAACAAATACATCTGCATCTTGTGACGAAAAAAATAACACAGAAGACAGAACAATGACTACGATATAGAACAGATTTGTAGACTAAACGGCTTGGGCAATACGTGAAGAAACTCGAGGTGTCTGGTCTGGAAAAATGAGCACACCTGAAGGAATGCCAGTCTTTAAGGATGATTGGTCTCAACCTTTTTGCTTTTCAGGGGCACTAGAAGGAGTCAGGAACCAGTGTCACTAAGAAAATGTCAGCCCATTGGGAGGAACGAGGCACTGGGGGTGGCAATTTGTCATGACCCTGCTTGCCTCTGCTCCTCTCCCCCAATCTGCCTGCATGCTATGGTGCACCATCCCGGGCAGCCATGCCTACGCTCAGCCTCTTAGTCAGTACCTTGGGCGATGTCGTCCTGCCTCTGCAGGCAGGGCCTCTCCACCTTGTGCGCAGGCTGGGCTGGCTCTCGCTCGGGCTGCTTGGCACACCTCCCTTCGTTGAACACATGTGGCAGGTTGGCTGTGTGTACTTGTCGGAGTTGCTCATAGTCGCTTAGTGCAGCTGTCAGGTCCCAGTTTTTACCTGTGGGTAAGGAATGACAAGGAATGGTAGGATCAACACATTGGCAATGGCTTCATTGTAGAAATGAACTGTGGTGTCCATTAGCATGGTAACTAAAAACCTTCCCAACAGTAGTTCTCAGGTTTTCTTCCCCCAAGTGTTGATTGCCTTTTGGGCATTCCCGACAAGTAGTATTTTGAAACCCGTAATTGATGACTTTCTCAATGTGTAATTGTATCGTGTGTGTGTGTGTGTGTGTGTGTGTGTGTGTGTGTGTGTGTGTGTGTGTGTATGCCATTACTGGGGTCCTGAACTTAGCACCTGGGTGCTGTCTCTTAGCTGTTTTGCTCAAGGTGGATGCCGTACCACTTGAGGCAGAGCTCCACTTCTGGTGATTTGGCGGCAACCTAGAGATAAAAGAGTCTCAGCAGGATGCTGGTGGCTCATGCCTGTAACCCTAGCTATTCAGGAGGCTGAGATCTGAGGATCATGATTGGAAGCCAGCCCAGGCAGCAAAGTCCATGAAACTCCTATCTCCAATTAAACATAGAAAAATCTATAAGAGGAACTGTGGCTCAAGTGGTTGGTAGAGCACTAGCCTTGAGCAGAAAGGAGCTCAGAGACAGAGCCAAGGCCCAGGGTTCAAGCCTCAGGACCAGAAAAACAAAAAACCAAGAGTCTCCAATTTGTCTGCCTGGGTTGGCTTTGAACCTTGATCCTCAGATCTCAGCCTCCTGAGTAGCTAAAATTACAGGTGTGAGCCACCGGCTCCTGGCCCCGGTGTCCCTTAAACTGCCGAGTTACTAAGACACTGCCTTTGTTACAAACTCTTGGCACACCAATCCTAATTTCTGACTGAGCAGTGACTTAATGAACAACCTCCTTGAAGCTCCATCTTGTAGAATGTGGAGCATGATTTTCAAGGCTGCTTGACTTTGGTGTCATTCTGTACTGCAATATTAACAAGCTCTAATAAATGTACTTTTTTCCTGGCTCTATACCAGGTTGATTTTAAAGAACAAAAAAATAGAGTAAAAAGGAAAAAAACATTCCCAAATATTTGTTTTTGGGGGTGGAGGGTGAAATTTTGCTCAGATTAAAAAAATTTTTTTCTTTTAAGCTTGATATGGGCAAAGCAGAAGCTTGGCAGGCATTCTCTTGCTGAGAGCCCTACATGTGGGCAAGAGTTCATGAACCACTCATTGGTGTGGTGGCTGACACTTTCTAGCGCTAGAGGGAACTATTCTGGTGGCTAGAAAGCAGTGTGGGAGCAGATTCCTTATTTTCAGACTTGGTGGACTTCTAACAGGGAGGAGGAGGTATCAAACTGAATCTGATTCCAGCTAGACATCATATGCATTTTGAAGACAAATAATCTAAAGGTTAGCCTTGAGCTAGGAGTGTTTCCCAGTGGGAGAGTGCTTACCTAGTATAGAAGGCCTTGGGTTCCATCTTTAGCACCACACCAAGGGGTAGGGGAGAAGCTTAGTTTATTTTTAAGTAACAAGTACAATCTTCTGTCCTGGTTGACTCTGAATTGCAGGTGTTAACTATACTGATTAGTTTAATTTTGAATAATGGGCAGTGTGGTTCCCTATGTCCCACATTTGATAGGTTTCAAGGCCTATATACTATTAAACCCTAAGTACACTGCGTTTGTCTCATAGATACCCAAATTTAATGCTTTTCCCATTTTAGTTAAGCACGCATCACACACTGTAGCTGAATGCTTATAGTGTGCGGTGTGACAGCAAAACTAGCACAGATTTCTTATTCCTTCATCTGTTGAAGATTAAAGGGGACAATTTACTCTCTCTGCCTGACTCTTAGCACTAGCTTGAAGACTCAGGCTGGAATCTATGCATCACCCCTCCTGGTTCTCCAGCTTGCTGACTGCAGATCTTGGGACTTGTCAGTCTTCATAATTGTATAATCCAATTCCTTACAATACTCTGACCTCTCACCTATGTAATATATGTGTACACATATATATGTATGATGTATGCTATCTATGCATGTGTGTAACTCATAGGAGATTCCCCTATATTAGATCCTGAATCAGAGTCTCCAGGCCAGAGAATTCTAAAGGGCAGCAGTGGTTTTGGGTCACAGCAACATAAGCTCTGTCTTCTCAATGGCCAGCACATGCTGGAGGAGTGGGAGTAGGTTATGCAAATCAGGCAGCACCTGATTGGTGGAATTCTGATTGCTTGTGTTATGCTTACAATAATTGGATAAGGCTGGGAGGACACAGCTCAGTGGCTGAGCACTTGCCTGGTGTACATGAAGCACTAGGTTCCATCTTTATTACCATAAAAATAATTGGCTATGCAAAAATTGAGTTTGGGGATAGCAGGCTTTTAAACTGATGGGTGAAAAAAACAACGGAGGGAAGAGCCAACACATGGAATCTATACTCGGCTTGCTAGCACAGGGTCAGCAGGACCCAAGACACCTTCTGTGTTTTTAGAAAATACACAACTCAAATTCACTGTATCTGATCTTGAAAAAAACAATCATTTGATTTCAAAGAAAAATGAATGTATGCATTCCATCACACTGTGCCATCCACCCTGACATCTGGGCAACACTGTTCCTACAATGGTCTCAACGAAGGTGGAACCTGCTAGAACAAACTGTCAGGGTGCAGGGTGTAATTATTGAGAGGCCCGAACTCCTTCTCACCGAGCTGAATCTTCCTAGAAAGCCAGCCTTGAAGCTACCTATTGAAGTCAGAAGCAGAGTATGGACCCAGTTTCATTAGCCCAAGTACTATAGTTAGTAGCTCCTAGAGGAAGGCCCATGTATTAAATGCTTGGGAGCTATTGGGAGAAGGTGGAAACTTAGGAGGTCAGGCATAGTGGGAGGTCTTTAAGTCACTGGGGACTCACCCATAGGGGATTGTGGGATTTTTCCCTTCCCCCACGTCTGTGTCCTGGTTGCTGAGGTAAGCAGTTTTGCTTGCTGCCTCACTACCAGTCCAAAACAAATGGGGCCATTTTCAAACTGGAGCCTCTAGAACCGTGAGCGAGCCTATCACCTTTTCTCTTCATAAATTAATCACCTCAGCTCTTCTGTCCCAGTGATGAAAAGCTGACTAGCATAGTCAAGTACAGTCTCCAGGCATATAATCTTAAAATGGTGCTTCACAAAGAATCCAAACACCGATTTTTTTTTTCATAAAGCCAAAGAAGGCTAAGTTAACTGTCAAAGTGAATCGGGTCTTGAAGATTAAAATGTGGTTGAGATTGGCAGCAGCTGGATTTATTAGGACCCTGCATCCCTAGTGTCTCATCTACCCTGGTGTGGATGCCCTATGAGGTAGAGCTCCTGCACAGTGCTTGAGAAAGACATCTCTCCCTTCAGTTAAATAGTTGCAGTTAAGAAAATTCCTCCTGCAGCTTTTAAAAAATGAAATCAGGCTAAATCCTGAAGATCAGAGAAACAAATCACTTCCTGTGGCATGGACATTTGCCAACTTAGTTCTCAGGAGAAGACTTAATTTGTCACTCCTAAAGAAAGCCTTCCAGCTCTTTCCATTCAGTGCTTATGTACCAGGAAGCTAGCCGCAGAGACTGTTGCAAAGCACTGTGGTCTAGGCCTCACATCTGGGCCAAGGACTTCCCTGGGATGCCCGGAGCCCTGAGGAGAACTGGTTCCCAACAGAGCCATTGGTCTGGCACACCAGCTACACAGCTGGCTGTGGGTGGTCAGCCCAACCTGACAGAGAGAACTGCTGGGTGCGGATGCTTTCTTATGCTTGTTCGGAATCAAAGCTGGAATTCTATGTCTGCTCAATAGTGAAGTTGTAGCTGTATGGAGATCAGGATTGAGGTGAGCTGTGCCTTGTTCCCCCACTTCCTAGATTGCCTAGCAGGAGAAGAGAGCACCTGGCAAAGCAGGTGTGGGGGATGACCCACAGTGCTGCATAAGGTCTGAGGGCTGGGAGGCCATGTCCACCTGGGAAGCCAGCGTCTATCCAGAGGCTGTGTCCACCCACGTAAATGCCATGCCCACACATTCAATGGACAGTTCAGGGGGTGCCTACTTAATGGAGTTCTATGACTTATATAATAAATAATTCCCTAATAGGATGACTTCTGGCAGAGACTCCCCGATCCCTCCTCCCCCCCCCCCCCCCAGCCCCAAATTAGGAAGGGCATCCTGAAGGTCCATCACACTGGGAGGCTGCAGTCTCTGAAGCTGAACTTCCCAGCACAGCCAGTGCTGGGGGCTATGTGGGGTGGGACCGTGGTAAGGATGCAGGATGTTGTTTTGAGAGACGTAAGACCATTGGCAGAAAGAAATGCTCTGACATTCTTTTGACTGAAAACAAAAGTGCTGTGGTATTCTTTGTAGGCTGTGGAATGAATGCCCAGATGTGCACTAGGCACACACTCATGTAAACATCAGCATGAGTGGGATCCAGCCCCTTTGTAACACGATCAGCATGGCTATCATGATCATGCCCGCCCCCCCAGTCAGTCCCTGGGATCATTCTTTATTTCTGACCACACACTTAGTAGCACAAGCTGATTATCTCATAGTTTTGGAGGTCAGATGTCTAGAGGGCGCAGCTGGTCTCTCTGCACTGAGTTTCACAACGTGGAAGTTAGGGTGTCAGCAGGACTGTGGTCCTTTCTGATGCTCTAAATGGGGAGCCAGCTTTCAGGCTTGTTCCCGTTGTGGTAGGAGTCCCTTCCCAGGAGGCGGGAGCACTGTCTCTATTTCCTTGAAAGTTGTCACCCAGAAGTCCTCATCAGCTTTCAGGGGTCACCTGGCATCCTTGGTTTATGGCTTCTTCTTCTTCTTTTTTAAAATCAGTCTTCTCAATTTTAGCTGCCTGGTGGTACCGGAGTTTGAACTCAGAGCCTTGTACTTAGCTTGATGTCATTTGAGCCATACCTCCAGCTTAGCTTTCTGTTGATTAATTGGAGATGAAGTCTTACAGACTTTTCTGCCTAGACTGGCTTCAAACATTGCTCTATATTTCAGTCTCCTCGGATTACAAGCACGAGGCT